GGAGGAGGAGAAGGAGGAGGAGGAGGAGGAGGACTGGGAGGAGGAGGAGAAGGAGGAGGAGGAGGAGGAGGAGGGGAGGAAGAGGAGGAGGATGAGGAGGAGGAGGAGGAGGAGGAGGAGGAGGAGGAGGAGGAGGAGGAGGAGGAGGAGTGGAGTGGAGCAATCGGACGTAGTCCGTTCGGAACCCGGAGACGCCAGGGGGGCCATCCAATATTTCTCGGAGGGCCGTGGGGGGCGACATCCCACGGCACACCGCGACAGGCCCCCCTGGCCTCACAATTTACTCGGAGGCAGCACCCGCCGCGTAGGAACCGATCGCGGCTTCGGCTGCCGAAACGTGCAAAGCCTCTAGCACTGACTTGCTGGGACCCGATCTGGACGGGTGGAGGCCTCGCCTGATCCTGCTGAGGTTCTCGAGGCCTTTGCCAGTGGGTCCCAGGGCCCTGCGCTCTCCCACTTGGTGGGAGAGAGGGCACGGCAAAAGTAGGCTTTTAACCTGGTGCGTGGCCGTATGGCCGCACTTCACACAGAAGAACAATTGCCACTTGGGGATGGTGGCCAAAGTGTGGGAGGGGTGGATCACCTTGCCACTGATCACGCGGGGACCCCTCGACCACAGCACCTCTCCACACGCAGCAAACTCGGGAAGGGGGCAAGGCGGCACACACTCTGTGGCGGCAGCTGGAATAACGTGGCAAGCGTCAACGATGATGAGGCAGGCAGGGCATCCCCATTTGTCTGCACACCGCTCGAATTTGTGCTGAGAAGCCGCGATCGCGGTCTGCAACAGAGAGCGAGGGGCTGCCTCCTGGGTGGGTTGCCTCTCTGGCCACAGTCCTCGAGGCTCTGAATTCTTGCCTAAGGAACGTAAGATCAGTCGTGCCCTCTGTCGGACGATGGCTGCAATAGCGTCGTATTCATCGGTCCTGGGGACGGGCGGGAGGGCAAGGGTGGCCGACTTGTGGGCCGCGCTTCCCGCGAGCTCGTCGGCATGCTGGTTGCCGAGAGCAAGAAATTGTTGGAAACCATGCAAAGTCAGGGGATCGGCGTGAGATGGGGTCCAGAGCACCGTGACCGAAGAGCCGCCGCCAGATCGATCCTGCACGAGGTGCCGAATTCTCAGCCAGAGATCCCCATTCTTATTCTTGCCTCTAAGGCTGCCAGGTCTGAGACATCTGCCATTCTGCCAGCCGCGCTGCAGGGCTAGGTGATCTGTAACAAACGTGAAATCCTGCTGGCACGTCTCCAGTGCCAGGCAAAACGCATGCAATTCGCCTCTTGGGACGGTCTGGCGGGGGCCTGGGAGGGGGGCGAGGAGGCCCGCGTGGAGGGTCCAGGAGGCCGAGGGAGGGTCCCATCGGAGGGCCGCGAGGCCAGAACCAACACGCCGTCGCCTGACGTCGTCGGAAAAGGCGCCGCCAGACCCGTCACCAAAAAGAAACAACTCGCCCTCAGCGTTACGAGCTCCTTCCCACGACGGCAGGCCCTCCCGCGCCGCACCAACAAACTCCCACCCGTCCCTCCCAGTCAATGGCTCGAACGCGGGCGTAGTGAGAGCGACAGAGGGAATGCCACGGAGCCACAGGGCAGGGTCGGCATCGACCCCCGCCACGGCTCGCGGTAGTAACTTGTCACTGGCCTCAAACTCAGGTCCCACATTCGCCTCGCACTGCCACATTCGGTGAAACAAGGTTTCAGGAACTCCCGCGCTGCATCGGTCGCAGTTCTTGTCGATCTGGTAGCCCGCGTTGTGGGGGCGGTCTCTGGTCCATTGTCCTCCACTGATGATGGTGTTGTTGAGGGCCCAGTCGCTGAAATCACCGTTTGCGAGGAGCCTCCTTTGTTCAATGCGGATAGTGACCATGTCCGCGCCTCCAGCCAGCGTGTCACCATGGTCATGCGTAGCGGCCTGAGTCCAGAGGAGCCTGTGTAAATCCTCGCTGAGGTCCTGCAATACTGCGTGGATGTCGGCGTCGAGGAGGTCAGGGTCATCGGCAGGGGGGAGGTTCCACTCCTCGATGTAGCCGTCCTTCGTACGCCTCCACGTGGTAGCTGAGGTCGGCTCCCAACTGGCCTCCAGCAGGGTCGCGATGGCCGCGCCTGTGGGCCCCTTGACCCTGCACCACAGCTTGGGGCCTGCAGCGAGCAAGGTGGTCTTGATCCTTGGCCATGCTCTGATGATCCTGGCGTGCGTGCTCGGGTGGCGTATCCAGCGCTGAAGCCAAGCCTCGGTGAATTCGATCCTTAGGGAAACTCCTGGGTCCATGCCGTCGAAGGTGGCGCCGAGGAGGGAGGTGAGGCATCGGCCCGCTGCTGCGCCCGTGGCCGCAATGGCGGCCTGACGCCGCCATCGTAGTAGAGCGTGCCGAGCAAGGCCGTGCACCTGATGACCGAATACTCCTTCGGGGAGAGCGCCAGTACGCCACAGTCCTGCTGAGATTCGAGCCTGCGGTGCGGTGCTCCGTAGTCGGTGTATCTTGCGAAACCTAGCTGCGGCTGAGCTCTGTCGCTTCCTGGCTTTGGCTTGTACCCGTCGAGTGGCCGCAGCCGCGTCAACTCCGAGGTCGACGGCCGTGGCGGTCGCAGTAACTGGGATGTCGTACTGCCGCAACTTCTTGGCTAGCGATTTGCGGACCTTGGGGGTGGAGCCGATGAGGACCGTCTTGTCAGAGATAGGCAGCTCGAACTCCTTTAAACCTTCGCAGAGCGTCTTGGCGGCACGGGGGAGGTGCTTCTGTAGCGTGCGTAGGACTCCTTCGACTCGAAGAACAGTGCCGTCTACGAAGGTCCACATCTGGGCAAGCTCTGCCTGAGCTTGGGCCTGCCGTAGAATAGGAAGTAACATGAGTCGTGCCAAGGTCGTGCCGTGAGGGGGGCCTGCAATGATGCCTTTGGAGGCGAAGATAGGCATACTCACCCATTGTCGACTGCGCAAGAATCTGGGCGCCAGGTATAGCTGTACTTCCAGTAGTAGAATGATGGGGGGAAAGCCGCAGTTGAGGCCGACCGTAATGAGGTTGGCGAGCTTGATATTGTCGTAGAACTTCTGGACGTCTAATAGCAACGTGGCTGACTGTATGCCAAGTGCTGAGGCTGTCTCGTCTAACAAGGCCCTATGTAGGGCGGCCTGGAGAGCTGAGGAGCCTTTGATGGCTGTAGTCCAAAAGTCGTCCAGGCCTTGGGTCCAGGATGTAGATGCAGTCGATCTGATGCGAGACCAGAGTCTGGCCATGTGAGGTAGCATGCCGAGGACCCTGTCGCCTCCAGACTTCTTGGCAGCGAGAGCTGCAATAGTGCCTGAGATTTGTAGTGGCCAGATGCCTGCTTGCTCTACTGCGTTGAGGATATCCGCATAGGCTTCGACTGCTGGTTCTGGTAGTCGATGGAGGTCGCGAGGTCCAAGGGCGTCAACTCCATGTGCTTTACTGGGTGGCATGCGGCCGTGAAGCGGTGTACGATCTCGGCTGTGATGGGCTCGAGCGGTTGGCGAGCGGCTGCTGCCTTGGCCTTTGACAGGGCCTGTAGGATGTCGTCGGGGGTCTCGGTGGCTTGCCATACTTGTTGCCACTGTTGCTTCTTGTTGTCCATGATAACGGCGGGGTCGGCGATGGTCAGGTTGGTCGTGTAGGCCTCGATGTGACGTACGGGCGCTGGCTTGACATGGGCGTGTAGTACTCCAGGGCGGTGTTTCCATTGCTTGGCGAGCCAAGCACCGTAAGCCCTCTTGGACTTGGCGAGGGCGGCGGAGAGCGCTCTGGAGGCCCAAGTAGCGGTAATAGTGACCAAGTCGCCGGTGTCCTCTTTGTCCAAGTGCGGGGCCCAGACGAGTGCAAACCAGCGGAAAATGGTGTCCTCGTCCTTCTCGAACTGGAGGTCGTGAAAGTGAGTGTTGAAGTGGTCCGCGCGCTGCTGGATGATGGAGGCCTGCTGCTGCATGAGCGCTGCGTGCTTGGGCTTGTCGTGAAGCGCAGCGTAGCGCTTGATGAGGGTGAGCGTGATTGCCCACCATTCCGACTGAGGGTCATGTACGTGTACGCGGCCTGGGGCGGCGGCCGTCTTCTTCCAAGA